GGGGGGTGGGGGGGGCGGGGAAGGGAGGAGCTGACCTCTGCAAACATCGTAGGTTGCCAGCCTTGCTCAGCCTTGGCTGAGTCAGAGGTGGGAACGGTTCGCATCGGAAATGGGAGCCCGCAAAGCTGGGTACCGAGTGAAGGATGCTCTGGCCCTTTGCTGGGCTGCTGCACCCCGAGCCCTGTGTGTAATCACCTATGTCCCCTCTCTTCTGGGCAGCACGACCGCTTGTGAGAGGGTGGGATGTGTTGTATCCCGCACGGGGACGTATCCCACCTTAAATTAGGTACCCTGTAGCATTCGGGTTTTACTTTGCCAGAAGAGTGTGGCCTGAGTCTGTTTCTTGGTATTCATGAGTAAGTTTTCTTAGGCCTTTGCTGTCAGTGGGGCCGTTCATTGTTATTAATCTTTTAATGAGGCATTGAAGCTTTATTAAAGGTAATAAAACTTACAGATGTCCTCTGTAGAAGTAAATAATTTTTCATGCTTATCATCCTCTAATTAGGGTTCTTCAACCTTTACCAAAGCGGGTGCCACCCAGCATTAATGGTAAAGGGGAAAAAAAATAATACAGTGAGGTTGCAAGGTCTGACCTGCTGTATTGCTTCAGTTGGTGACTAGTAGCACAATGAAGTCAGTACTCCAAATGTTGATATTGTGCATTCACATCTGAATTATTCTAAGCCTGTTAGAACAGAGGTTTTTCCAAGGCTTCCATGGCTCTTTAACCCGAGTTCTATGAGACAGATACATGGACCCCTGAAAGGACATTGCAATTAGCTATCCCCTAGACTGCGCACAGGGAACAGGCAGTCTACCTTCTGTAGCACAGCAGCTGTGTTAAAAAATTCAAACAAAATACAACCTACTGCATTTGGGTCTGTGAAATCAAGGCCATAGTAGTTGTTTGCAGACCTATAGGATTCATGTTGATATTTGTTAAACCTACTGAGAAAGACTTACCACCTATACCAGGGGTATCTCTTGCTTCTCTCTGAGGTGGAGGAATAGAGCCTTGCTTGGTCCTGATGATGTGATCTGTTTATAAAACTGGTTTTGTGTTCTGGCCAAACACAGAACACAGCCTGTCTCTTTTTGATCGTATGTTCAACATTACCAAATGTTTGCTATTGACTTGATAATTTTGCAGCTTGGATGAAAGAACAAAAAAATTGTGCTGCTTATTTTTGGGTTGTTTTTTTTTTTTTTGGAAGGGAATGAGGCTGCAAAACTGACTTCAAAAGTGGATGCAGCTATTTTTGTAGCTACTGTATTTTATTTAACTTGTATTTATCAAAATTCTTTTTTTTAAACATAAAATGCAACTTACTGAACCTATCTGTCCTGGAAAAAATGTTAAGCATGCACTCTCAATAATTAATAACATGGAATTGGCAAAAGAGAAATGAAAAATCCAAGCTTTTAAGCGCTTGGTAGCCCTGTGGGAAACCATAGGCTTATATTCTCTTGGTTTCTGTATGGGAGAAGGAGAAACAGTGTGAATGGGTCCTCATCCTACATTTCAGCTTCCAAGGTAGCAGACCTTAGAGGTATACTGTAAATTGGAAACACTTGCATTTTTCTGGTGTATGACCTTGAAGCCATGAAAGGGGTTGGTAGCAGCTTTGAAGAAATGTTGGGAGGAGTCAGGTTTAGTAACAAGGAAAAAATAACATTTGTATGGCAGAGTTTCCAAAACTAGGAAGAGAATGGGAATGGCTGCAATTTGTTCACGTTTACCTTCTGCTGTGGTTGCTAAACAACTGCAGAGCTGCACTTAAAAATACCTATTTATGTAGAACAGCAGGTAAGCAAGTTGTTTTGTATGGAGGCTGTAAATAGACTATAATACTGTGAATTTCAGTGTACCGTTTTGTGACAGAGAGAGTAAACACCAGAGTCCTAACATTCTTTTCTGCTGCTTTGTGTTCCTGCTGTCAGCTTTGTTGAATGTGGTACCATCGTTCCTTCTGCCAAGTCCTCGGTAAAATTTTAAGTCTGACCTTGTGATTCCATTTGGAGTCTTGTAAATGATGGTAGCTTTCAAGTTACTTTTAGGAAGTGCTTCGTGGAAGTAAAAGACGGACTGTAGGAAAGAGAAAGACACAGTTTAAAGATGGGCACTTCTGTCTTAGCATCATACTTGAGCTTTTTACCTTCTTTTTCTACCAGTTATATGGTTGGGGTTTTTTTCTTCAAGGCTCAGACCAAATAGCAGAAATTATGAAAGAAAAGTTGAAGAACTGTTAGGGGTTTCTGCTTCTGCTCTCCCCAGAAGTCCTTTTTTGTTGTTGTTTCTGTCCTTAGTCCTGTTTAGGGTAACTGAGTTCTGTGTGTGTGTGCCTGCATGGAATCGCATTAGTTCCACTCTGTGGCAGGGTAACCACTACAAATCTCACCACAAAGTATTAACTTGCAGAGCTGCAAGTTTCTACATGTTTTTTCTCATTCACGAGACATGTATTTTAAAAAAATACTTATTTGTTAATCTTTATAGAATTAGATGTGGCAGCATTTTACTTGAATTCCCCTACTTTTATTTGAATACTAGAGATCTTCCCCTTTACTTTCATGCTTTGATTTTCAAGCTTTAGAAATCATATCTTTCAGGTTAATTTACTATGTTGTGTTCAGTGTAAGCTGGCAAGACTGATGCTTATCCACTCATGAACTGTGACATTGGTGTTACATGATTAAATAGAGAGAACTTGTAGTTCATGGGTGTGGATACAGCGGTAGTTGTCTGGATTATAAAATGCTAAAAGTCCTTTTCAAAATTGTAATGTATTACATTCTCATTTGTTATCCACTTTTGGTTTTGGTTCATAATCCTGTTTTGTTATTGTTGGGTTTTTTGTTTTAGCCCTTAAACTTTTGGTTAGATTGGGTTTTCTCTAAGGTAAATACCACAAAAAGCTCTTGTAACAGCGAAGTAAATATGTGAATTTAAACCACTGAAACCAAAGTATCTTGGAAACGTTAAATACTTTAATACTACCATGGTTATAGATGAAATTCTATGTTGTAGTTATACCAGCAATTTAAAGAAATAAATAAAAAGGTGATTATACCACCTTTTTTATAGACAACAGCTAGATGCAGAGGCAACATGGTCTGCAGCCTCAGCCAGCGTGGGTTGCGTAGCTCCCTTGCTTTCACCTAACCTTCTCCCGTTCAGTGAAGGTTAGCGGGCTCCGTAGAGCGTGCACTGCACGTGGGTCAGGGATTGCCAGCCCATGCTGAACCTAGTGACAGGAGCGTAGCACTGGAGGAAGATTTGAGGGGTTTGATAAGGATTTTTTTAAGCACTCTGAAGGAACTCTTAAACTGAAAGAGGAATCAAAATAAGCAAATAACAATCTTCTCCTTCTGAATATTTTGGTTGAAACCAGTACAGTAACACAGTTCCATGAAGCAATTAAGACTCTGTGTAAGCAAGAGATTGTCTCTGACTAGGCCCTCCACCAAGCCCCTGGTGATCAACATTATTCAGTAATAGAAACAACAGGCTTAATGAGCAACTTGATAGCAGGAGGTTTGTGTGAATAGGAGAGTTAAATTGGGGACCAAGTTGTTCTACCGACTTTCTGTTTTATCACTGAGAAAGGTATCTGAATGTCTTGCATTTTTCCATCCATTTATTTGTCTGAGGTTAACATAAATAGAATAGGCAGGGTTATTTTGAAATTACTTTCCTCTGAAGTACTCTTCGACAATTACTTTATTACATAGACATGGTTGTTTTTTTTTCTTTCTTACAGCTCTGATTGCCAACAGGAAAATAACGCTTCTTAAACAGAATGTGGCTTACCTTTTGCCTGAAAAGGTGAAATCTTTTCAAATAGAAATGGCTGATAAAGGTGGGAAGATCCTTCCAGGACAATTGTATATTGAAGTGGAGTATGACTATGAGTATGAGGCTAAGGACAAGAAAATTGTGATTAAGCAAGGGGAGAAATACATCTTAGTGAAAAAGACTAACGATGATTGGTGGCAAGTCAAAAGAGATGAAAACTCTAAACCCTTTTATGTGCCAGCACAGTATGTGAAGGAAATACCACGAAAAGCGCTGATGCCACCTGTTAAGCAAGCAAGCATGCTGCCAAATAACGCTTTGAAGTTGACACATGGATTACAGAGATCGACTGAAAATGTGAATAAGTCACCAGAGCTTTCTAGTTTTGGAAAATCTTCTCCAGTTCAAGTGTCTTGCTTAGTTCGAGATGCCAATCAAAATCTGGGACCGAACAATAGCCCTGGTCAGACTCTTGGTCTGAGTCTGGACCTTACCCAAAACAATGGAAAACTTAATAATGAGTTGCAATCTCCCAAGGTTTCCAATCAGTATAGAACCGTCTCCATGGGTCATTTCCCATGTCCAGAGTTCTTGGAAATAGAAAAGACCAGCTTTTTGCATGAACAATCTTGTGATTCAGCAGGAG